TTTGCCCCCCCCCCTCGTATCTCCGAAAATACTGGACGGATCCGCAAAATTCAAACGGCGTTCGAAAGGCCTGTCAAATTTGTTGAGGGAAACCAAATTTCATTGACCTCGGGGTCACCGATGACGTCACAGGTCAGGTCAAAGATGAAATGTTTCACCGTTCACGGGTCTGCTAGGGAATACGCTATAACACCGAGGAAAACGCATTTTGTCGATAATCAGCGATAGGGCGTCAGTTGCCTAGTAGATATGTTGCTATTAGAGGTCACTGACAATACCAGGTCAGGTCACCAAGGGTCACAGGTCAGGTCACATGAGCCCAACTTTACTAAGGTTGTGTGGGACCGATTCCCTTCTTCCATATCATGATAAAGAGAGTACACGTGCAAGCTTTGTTACATAGAAATAGCCGTCACTTTCCCCACGTGTCGGCACCGTCCACCGACCCGGCGGGTCGGCGGACCGGTCCTTCATTGTGCAACCACCCTGCATATAACGCACAGGCACTGGCGAATCAGAATCAGAACCACAGTTGCAATACAAGTCTCGGCCCGCTCAGTCGTCTCTCCTTCCGCGCCTCCGCGACAATGGTGGCAGCGGCGGTCGAGGGGACTTGTGCCCCTCACCACGGACCCCAGCCTCTACATCTGCACTGACATCGCAGTCTGGTTAGTCCGTGCTCTGTGACGGTGTATCGCCCCTACGTCACGTCATCGACTAGGGAGCTGACCATCCTGGACTCGTCATCGTCCGACATCACCGTCTCCAGTGAGTAGCTCTGCCCGGCAATACCATCTGCCCTGCGGCAACGTCATCAGCTACCCTGGACTACTACGGAGCCCGCCGACAGCGCACGGCTCATCAGCCCGCGCCGTCCTCCTCAGCATCATCGAGTGATGGACACCACCTCGCTGAAGGACTCAAGATCGGAGGAGAGAAGATAAAACAAAAACTTCAACGCTAAATTCAAGACAAATTGGCACCGAAATCAAGAAAATTCACCCATTATGAACTTTTGCTGTATTTTCGTCAAAAAGTGACAATGAAATTGTGCTGTGAAATTTGTTTTAACTTCGATGTGTTTCAAAAACCGTACTGTTTCATTATCCGTTTTCGTCAGTGTTCTGTCGTTTGTTGCGCTTCATTGTGGTTGCTCACCCCAAAATTTACGGAGAAATTGCAAGTGCATTTAAATTTTGCCTGCACTTTGCCGTGTCATTTTGACACTAGTAAACGTAGAAAGAGCATACTCTGAACGGTATGAACATTCAAATACGTTAATCGTTGTCAATTCACTGAAATTATATTGTATTGATATTCGGCCAGAGATGCCGAGGGCCATGGAGATGCCCAGGGACGGTCCCCGCCAAGAGTGCGGAGGGATCGCCCGGTAGTAGGTGTAATTGTCACGAAACTTACTTATCTGTTCATACCATTTTGTGATACGCTCATATGGAAATTTCTTTCTCCGTCAGCTAAACGTTTCCTCTCTTTGTTATGATCGCTTCGGTTCCCTACGCTTCCCTGGGGGAGGGAAGATAATGTGGGACCGATTCCCTTCTTCCATATCGTGATAAAGAGAGTACACGTTCAAGCTTTGTTACATAGAAATAGCCGTCACTTTCCCCACGTGTCGGCACCGTCCACCGACCCGGCGGGTCGGCGGACCGGTCCTTCATTGTGCAACCACCCTGCATATAACGCACAGGCACTGGCGAACCCCAATCAGAATCAGAACCACAGTTGCAATACAAGTCTCGGCCCGCTCAGTCGTCTCTCCTTTCGCGCCTCCGCGACAGTTGTGTGATGCATGTTTTATGGCCAATTTTTCATTTCCAACTCAATGGTGTTGGTTATAAGACTATCAGGTACGGCTTAGGTCACTTTTTGGTGAAGTTCAGGTCAAGGTCAGGTCAAGGTCAGGCCAAAAAAGGTCAAATTTTAAAGTTGATAGTTTTGCATAAAATGGGTATTGATTCGATGCAGCTCGTCAAGGGGAGTCTAATGGTGGTCTTTGTTTTGCGCTACGGGGTCTAGAATTGCTATAAATTGAGTTTGAAAATTTGACGTCATCAATTTTGAACAGTTTTTTCGCTATAACTTCGCCAAAAAAAGAGGTATCAATCTCAAATTTGGTATGTGGATGGAAGGCGGTAAGAACTATCACATATATTCCGGTTTTTGCGAAATTCAAAAAACTTTTTGGATTTTTCGATTATTATATCCAAAAAAATTATTTTTTGATTTTTGGGGGTCCAAATCCAAAAATTTCAAAAATCCGAGATAGCAGTTTTATAGCCCTGTTGATTCTACCGCTTTTATGTCTTTATCATTTTTCTGTATTTGCAAAGCTATAAGCCTGGCAGCTCTTCCCGCGAAACCCTTTTTTGGGTCGAAAACGGCAGAACATGACGTCACTCTGACGTCATTTCCGGCCAACATATCGTAGCATTTGGAAAAATATTTGGTCACAATATGTAGAATTGATGTCCGGGAGGGTACTGAAAGTTTGGTGACGATCGGCGCAGCGGTTCTGGAGATATATCGAAAAGTCTGGAGGGGGGGGGGGGCAAAAAATAGCCCCCCCCCCACCAGGTCGCGGGTTAAGTAGGTCGCGCTACAGGCCACACCACAACGGTTAGCGTAGGTGAGAATGGTATTTACACATCTCATAGTCCAATGAAGTCCGGCGTGCCCTCGGGCCTCGATGAGTTCAAGCTCGATCGGGTGGGCACCGAGCGCGCGACTCGTGCCGAAAAAGTGCAGATTTGCGTTATAGGCTTTCTGCGTAAAAACGGAACGCGAAATCGGTCGAAATAGTCAAAATTACCAACACGGGTACAGATCAGGAGCAATAGCTTGGTAACTGTTAGCCTAATCGACATGCGGCAAGGGGAGACAGCATCGTGTAGATAAATTGAACGGGTTATCAAGCTCGCATCTACAAGGACACCAGTTCCCACTTCTGAGACGCTGTCTGCCCGCCGCCTACTGGTAGTTCTATAAACCCTGGCGGGACCACGGCCTCTCGGGTTCGGTCGTCTGCTGTATAGATGGCGTGGTGTTACAGTATGCTGCCTATTGCCCAAGGCTATAGAACTCCAGGTAAGGACACCAGCCGTTTGACCTTGAACGCCGCCGGCCGGCCGATGACGTCATTGGAGGCAAGCCGGCTCGGCGGACACACAGGGCGAATGCATAACGGAGGGGCGTTGGAACGTTGCGGGAGCCCAGGGAGATATTTTAAAGTGGTTGCATACCACCATTGTTTGTTGATTGATCTACAGACTGCATCCTTTTAAACCTCGATGCATCCTAGGCCTGGATGGTGCGTACATTCGTGGAACGATCACCCCGTCCGACGTCCGTGGTCGAAGCTGTCATAGTATTTAAGACACTAAAGACGGGTGCAGTAACGGCGATCCGATCCCGTCTCTGGCGAATTTAGAGGGGTCGTAAGGACCCAGGCCGAATCTGACCGTCTATTTTTAGGGAAACGGGGTGGGTGAATTGACAACCGATGGCTTAAGAGATGATGAGAAGGGATCCCGTCGTCGATTGTTGTTTGACAGACAACACATGTTGCACTGGGCGTATGACCATCAGAGGTAATGCCTGAACGTAGGCAAGCATAATTGGTCTGTCATATTGTTTAGGAATATAAAATGGTAATGGAGATCATTGAGGATATGATCTCTACATTACGGGAATTCACTAACTACTACGGCCCATAGGGGCACCGCCGGAGCTGTTGTTTTGCCATTGGTCCCAGGCAACTCCAGGGAGCAGCAGTACCCGGCGGCCAAAGCGGCCACCTCGTCGACTCGCAGGTCCTCTGGGTGGGATTCCGTGATGCTTTAGTGCTTCACCCACAGAAGCACGGGCATAGCAGTAGGATGTGGGGCTAGGTGTCTGTCCACCTCTTCATTCAAAGAACAACGTGTACAGCGCCTGGTCCCGCCGAAGCTCGGTATCGACCGTGACTTATTCACAACTAGCGGATCCAGGAAGCGGTATTGGACACTGCGGGGGCTTACCCCAAAAAGGTTTCTCGGAATTAATTTAAAAAAACTCGGATTTCGATTCATTGCGCACTGCTGTGCGGTGTGATTAGCCAACATTTCCTCTGAAAAGTTGTGAAGTTTTCATTTATTCTCGAAAATCGATTTCGGGCGCTGCCCTGGTTGTTGGGGAAGACATTTGCCCCAAATGCCTTCCCCTGGATCCGCCAGTGGCCGTTGCCCCACTCCGAGCTTGACTAAAGACTTCTTCAAACCTCACCAGAAACCGATGGTAAGGTGAATTTAAATCCAATAACTCATCTCTGTCTGCCCGCCTAAATATACTACACATGGTACAGCACCCGGCCCTGTCGGAGCTATGAGCCGATCGTGATATTTTCGGCTTTCCCCATCCCAAGCTCGATTAGAAACGTTCTCCTTCCCCACCCGATTGCTGATGTCAATTCAAATTAAATGCCTCATCTCTGTCTGCCCGACCATAACCCATTCATTGCACACCGTTCAGCGCCCGGCCCCGCCAGAAGTATCCTAGCGCGCTGAGCAGTTGCCTCCAGCCGCGTCATCGCGAGGCCCCGCGCGGCCCATAAATGAATACATTGCGCGAATAGCCGTGTCACCCCCCTGCTATTGCCACCTGCATGAGATACGGTACCAACGCTACGCTGCCGCCACCTGCAAGGCGTTCGTCCTGCCAAACGGGAGGCGGGGCCAGTGTATGCTTATAGCCACAGTTGCTGAGACGATATGACAGGTCTGGTAACGATGCTACATGAGCCACGCTGTAGAAAGGAGCGCAACTTCGACACTGCTGACACCTCCCGTTCCATGAAGGCCCTACAGACACCCGACCGGCAGCTAGGAAAGCCCATCGTTCTACCCGCTGTTCTGACGCTAATGCAACTCCAGGCGAAGTCCACAAGCCATAGGTCGTTTCCCAGCCACCGTCCCCTCGCCCGGCTCCACCTCAAACAGCCGTGCTATGTTACATACACCGTATATTGTCTCTCATCGACCGATCCACGCGGCGCTATGCGCCCGGCCCGGTCTCCCGCCCCGCTTCCAGTTCACACAGGTTCAATTCAGCACGTCTACCCGTCCGCAGTTCACAGTCGCCGGCTCAGAACTTGGGTGCCGGGCTCTTGCTGTAGTCGTGGTTCGCCGTGTTCATGAACTGTGAATAGAACGAGCATGTGTAAAAATACAACGACGAAAAACAATTCACGAAGTTGGATAAAGCGCCGAAATGGAACGTACTAGAAACGAAATAAAAGCAAAAAAAAAATCATTTTAAAGATCAGCAGGCTTCTCTTCTAAATGAAGAACATGTGAACAATTAAAAGGTTCTCTTCTAAATGAAGAACATGTGAATTGTGAACAATTACATGAAAGTCCATGACTACTATCAGTTCATCTATCATCTTATTGCAATAAGTCACTACAGCCTGAGCGGTGACGTTCCGATTTCCGGTATCATTGAATACGCTCTGTACCTTATACTGGGCGGTCCGGAACTCCTCCCAGGGCTCGGGGTTGGGGAGTACTCTGTACCTTGTACTGGGCAGTCCGGAACTCCTTCCCAGGGCTCGGGGTTGGGGAGTACTCTGTACCTTGTACTGGGCGGTCCGGAACTCCTCCCAGGGCTCGGGGTAAGGGGAGTACTCTGTACCTTGTACTGGGCGGTTCGGAACTCCTCCCAGGGCTCGGGGTTGGGGAGTACTCTGTACCTTGTACTGGGCAGTCCGGAACTCCTTCCCAGGGCTCGGGGTTGGGGAGTACTCTGTACCTTGTACTGGGCGGTTCGGAACTCCTCCCAGGCCTCGGGGTTGGGGAGTACTCTGTACCTTGTACTGGGCGGTCCGGAACTCCTCCCAGGGCTCGGGATTGGGGAGTACTCTGTACCTTGTACTGGGCGGTCCGGAACTCCTCCCAGGGCTCGGGGTAAGGGGAGGACTCTGTACCTTGTACTGGGCGGTCCGGAACTCCTCCCAGGGCTCGGGATAAGGGGAGGACTCTGTACCTTGTACTGGGCGGTCCGGAACTCCTCCCAGGGCTCGGGGTTGGTGGAGGACTCTGTACCTTGTACTGGGCAGTCCGGAACTCCTCCCAGGGCTCGGGGTTGGGGACTAAGGGGAGTACTCTGTACCTTGTACTGGGCGGTCCGGAACTCCTCCCAGGGCTCGGGGTTGGTGGAGCGCCGCCACGTGACGTCCGGGTTGCGGGTGGCCAGCCGCAGTGTGTAGAAGGCCGACAGGCCGACACCGAACCCGAGGGCGGCGAACAGCGGCATCAACTGCGGCAGGACGGAGTGGGCGGTCAGATGGGACCAGCGGGGCACGCGCAGGCTGATGGACAGAGGACAGTATGGCCACTCAGTAAGGGGCGGAGGATGTGAGAGTTGTTACTTTAAATGGGCGGCACAGCCGGATGGGCAGAGAATAGGATGGTCACCGGTCACAGCCATATACACCGCAAGCTGTCACAAAGTCTGTCGTCACATTGATGAATTATCGCAGGTGAATCCAGGTCAATAGATAAAATAATGATGATTAGTTTATCAACGACTAATTTAGCGGAGCCCTCAGCATTTGTCATCAGTGCCCGACGCCCACAATAACATGTTAACCCGCCACTGATTGGGGGTGGGGGCAAAGTGCTCCCCTTTTGTGTTCAATTCACATTGAACTATGACCATGACTATGAAGATTGAACACATAACTTAGTGATGACTATGAAGATCTGAATGGATCTTCATAGTCCATATAGTGAATGACATGGGAACTCCAAGTGCATGAGTTACCAAATGCTTCAAAGTTACTTTGCAGAATAGTGAAGTCACTGATAGTGATCAATAAATCACAGAAAAAATGATTACTTTGACAGGAGCTCAATATACCAATTAGCTACTTCATACCACAGCAGAATTCATGTTACTTATCTACTAATACCATTGTAAAATTTCATTAGGTAGTGCATTATTTATCATAACAAAAGACACAGAACGGTGATCTTCCATTAAAGGTAGTGTGCCACCTTTGAAAGATTTCCCATTTTATTTTTCCTAGGATAAGAAGCTTCTGTTTTTACCTAATATCGCAAAAAAAATCAAAAATGGGCCTGGAATAGTGCCTTTTTCGCCTAAAAGTTTATCGGTTTTTCGATATGTATAACAATTGTAGTGGGCTGACTTGTAAACAGGCGTCGGCAACAATCGCGAATGCGGCGCACATGTGACAATAAGCAAAGGTCATTATAGAGTTACGACGTACGGGAATGAGTTATCAGCTGTCTAATCGTAGACAACACAATGTCGAGCCTTAAACTGTAAGCCTGTATTGGTATTGTTTCTTTTATTTGGCTGTCGAACATTATTTATGGTTTGAAATATGATTTTATGTAAAATAATTGATATGAAAAAGCCGTCTCTTAAGTTATGACCCCATTTCACCACACGCAAGTGGCAGAAATGACAATGATCAGCTGACGCATTTTTCTTGGCCGAAGTCAGAGCGCGCGGCCCGACGCACCACCACCGCACCACAGTGATGCAAATGGGGCTCACGAGTGGCCATAAATACCCAAAAGTCAAGTTTACCAAATCGAGTTAATTGCGATATGGCCGAGTAGAAAAATGTTTGGGACATCTGAAATCACATGGTTTTCATGTTTTTGTCAAAACCGGGCTCGTACATAATCGTCAGAAGTCGTGACATTTTCTATGTCGTAAAATGACGGTCAGACACTCGCAAGTTCAAACGCCGCTGGTTTGCGTTCATTTCGTACAAATTGAAAAATTATGCATTGGAATGATCCCCAAAGCCTTCTGCTTCTAATGCCGGGTCACAAAAAGCCGTATCTCATTCGATTTGGCGGTAATCTGACTATTTATCATTATGTTGCAATCGCAGTTTTTTACTAAGAAAAAAATGCTCTCGTTTCACCTACAGCACTTAAAGGTAGTGTGCCAGCTTTCTTGGACCGTATGGAGTTAATGGCCCAGATAAGGAGAACCGGATTTTTAGAACTTATCCATACCTTCAAAACTCATGGAAACGTCTTAAATTCTTCAAATTTTGAGTACCCCAGTGCGAAATTCGCCCCGACGGGTTGTCGGTCGTACCCCAACCACATTTCACACCACTATGAACAATAAATGCACACACTGAAATCGCTATTACCGATATGCTCATCCAATCAAGTTTCGATAAACCCGTTCATCATCATCTCCTGCGGTTTCGAACACGCCTGTTAGGTGGCTTCTGATGCTCGTCGAGGTCGGAATTTCCAAATACGCGTGGTGCGTCGGGCCGCGCGCTCTGACTTCGGCCAAGAAAAATGCGTCAGCTGATCATTGTCATTTCTGCCACTTGCGTGTGGTGAAATGGGGTCATAACTTATAAGACGGCTTTTTCATATCAATTATTTTACATAAAATCATATTTCAAACCATAAATAATGTTCGACAGCCAAATAAAAGAAACAATACCAATACGGGCTTACAGTTTGGCTCGACATTGTGTTGTCTACGATTAGACAGCTGATAACTCATTCCCGTACGTCGTATGGTCGTAACACTATAATGACCTTTGCTTATTGTCACAAGTGCGCCGCATTCGCGATTGTTGCCCGACGCCTGTTTGCAGGTGAGCCCACTACAGTTGTTATACATATCTAAAAACCGAAAAACTTTTAGGCGAAAAAGGCACTATTCCAGGCCCATTTTTGATTTTTTTTTTTGCGATATTAGGTAAAAACAGAAGCTTCTTATCCTAGGAAAAATAAAATGGGAAATCTTTCAAAGGTGGCACACTACCTTTAACACAGTGTGTGCCCGTTAGTCCACCATACCATAGCCTTCCCTAATCATTTCTGAGTCGCATCGTGAAAGAATTAAGTCGCTAGCACAGGGCTGACCGGCGCTACAGAGGTTTTTGTCCGGGCGGTCGGGCGCCGCAGTGCACACAGCCGCTATCCGGGTTCAGAAGTGGCCAATACCCTAATTTTCGACAAATTTTAAAGCGTAATTTTCTCACATTTTCTGGTCGTAAATTGATCAGACTGTATAAAATATCATCCAGAAAAAATATTACTCATTCTGGCACAGGTTGGTGGGCTCCCAAAGTACACCGTTTTGTTTTGCTCCGTGAGACCGACCTTGTGCTGCGATTTTCATGTAAATGTTGACGAGTCTCCTGTCATATTCTTTGCTTGAAAATGCGTAAGTAAGATATCAGCTGGAAGGGGAAAATGTGCGGAATCCATTGGTAACAATATTGCATCTAAAAAACTTCCCACTCAGTTATTGTAAGCTAATTGTTGCACACTTGCACAAAGCAGAAGGGCTTGAGGATTTCAATATTTACATAGGCCTACCAAAAAACGCACAGCGTGCTTCACATCGAGACAACGTCCATAACATATACCGTACAATTGTGATTCATTTGCTGAAAAAATTAGGTCGGCATCACACTGCCGGCAAAAGTTATTGCAGTTCTAGTGACGCTAGGTCGCCGCCCGGCCGACCCTGGTCAGGTCGGCCGGGCGGCGGCCGCGCAGCTGACGTCCGTGCGGTTCGGCAGCTGACCAATCAGCTGCGAGAGAGGAGCGCGGTCCGTCTAATCTCCCCCGGCAGTTGCTTGTGCTGAGGGGTGCTCGACGCTCGTGTCGATTGCATTTGTTGGTTGTCGATTGTCGATTGACTTGTGGGTAGGTACACTTTTTGGTGACCAATAAATGTACGTCGTCTTAACTGAATGTAGTCTGATCAAATTCAATAAAGCAAAAAGACATCCAGCCAAAGGAACATCGTAAGAATGTCCGATATGTTTGATAGCATTCATAGTTTTGGGGAGCAGCCATCGACCAGAATGAACCTTATTGGCTTTTGTATGTAACATTTGCATTGCTTTTGGAAAGTTTCAGTCAGAAATCTTCACAGATGGCAATGTTATCGGCTTTCGCATTTCACCATAGTCGGTTAATCACAATTTTCGATATTGCAAAGGCAATTTCAGTACGTTTTTGACACAGTAAACAAACAATAAACAAACAATCGAAAACCAAAACGAATAGCATCATCGTGTTCCAGAGCTCAAATTGCATCCGATGCACATTTTTTTGTTGTTGAGAATGTTCAACTTCAAAATTTGACCTTTTTGACCTCGCCGTGACCTGACCTTCATTTGTCGAATGGAAATAGTTTCGAATCGGACGACCCAGATGACATCATTTTTAGATGCTTTTGCCGAAATGGACCATTAAAGATGAGTCGCATGACCTTAAAAATGCATGCATTTCCTTCAATGACCTTTTCCATGACCTTTTGTGGCCCATGACCTTTCCATGACCTTTTGTGACAAAGTTAGGTTTCGTTTGTCAGCAATTCCTATCAGAAGCCGTTTGAGCTTTTAGTATTGAACGAGTAGTTTCGAAGACAGCAGGGAAGCTATGCAGAATCCCCTCCCGAGTCACCCACGTTATGGGATATACCCGTCATCCGCGGATTACAAGCAAAAATATTTTTTTACGGCAATGATGTATCAGCATGGATGCTCATACGTTCCCATATGTGACCTTACGGTTGACTTCACATACAATAAAAATTCCTTGGCAAAATGTCAACTGGTTAACGAGTTATTGCATTTTGGCCACTTCCGAACTCAAATAGCGGCTGTGTGCAGTGGGCGCGCAGCGGGTGGGTGGGTGCCGCCGCGCGGCGTCCGGGCGGCGCGGCGGCGCGGCCGCCCGGGCCGCCCGCTGCGCCGCGGCACCCGACCGTGCCGGACGAAAACTTCTGTAGCGCCGGTCAGCCCTGTGCTAGCGCCTTAATTCTTTCACGATGCGACTCAGAAATGATTAGAGAATGCTATGATATGGTGCACTAACGGGCACACACTGTGTGAAGTGCTGTAGGTGAATTGAAAGCAAATATTTTTGGTAAAAAGCTGCGGTTGCAACATAATTACAAATAGTTAGCTCACCGCCAAACCAAAATAGATACGGCTTTTTATGACGTGGCATTTGAAGCAGCAGGTTTCGGGGATCATTTTCATGTATAATTTTTGCAGTTTGTATGACATGAACGCACGCTAGCGGCACTTGAATTTCAAGTACCTGACAGTCATTTTACTACATCGAAAATGTCTCGACTTCTGACGATCCTATACGAGGCCGGTTTTGACAAAAACATTAAAATCACACTTTTTCAGACACCCCAAACATTTGCCTGACTGACCATACTACGATTTATTCGATTAAGTGAACTTGAATTTTGAAACTTTAATTTTGCCTTTT